AAAGAACTGAGCAAAAGATTTCAAAGGGCAACTCAAAAAAACTAAAGCAAATTATTATAATGAAATGTATAAAAACTTGGAGTTAGAAAGCCAAAAAGGAAGACTACACTCAGCATTTCTCGGGCAGAAACAAGAAAACATCCAAGCATCAAGTTGCAATATTGAAGGATTGTATAGGAAAATCATTCAACATCATTTGTTGTTGTTGAATATCATCAAATTGGTTTAGACTCACAGCAACCCTGTATAGGTTTCTGAGGAGTGGCTGGTGAGTTTGAACCACCAGCATTGCGTTCAAACTGACCTTGCAGTCCAGTGCTTATCCTATAGCACCATACCAAAATTACATTTTTCAACATTGTAGGAACCATCACAACAAGATGGAAGAACTACCAGAGTCATGGTACCAGGAAGAACCAGTCAATATTCAGCCATGTTAAGAGGTAGCATAGGATCAAAACTCAATGTTCATGAAGGAAGTAGCCCAAGTTGCACTGAAGGAAATGGTGAAAAACAAGGCACCAGAAATTGAGAGAATACAAATTGAGCTGTTTCAACAAATGATATAGCCACTGGAGGGGTTCATTCATCTATGTCAATAAACTTGGAAGACAGCTACCTAACCAACTGACTGGAAGAGATCAATATTTGTGCCCATTCCAAATAAAAGTGATCCAAAAGAATGTGGAAATTACTGAGCAAAATGATTAATATCACACACAAGTAAAGTTATTCTGAAGATAATTCAAAAATGGTTGCAGCAGTACATCAAAAAGGAACTTCCAGAAATTCAAACTTGATTAAGAAGAGGATATAAAAGGAGGAATATCATTGTGGATGTCAAGTGGATCTTGACTGAATTCTAAGAATACCCAGAAAGATGTTTACCTGTGTTTTATTGACTATGCAAAAGCATTCACCTGTGTGGATCATAATAAATTAGACATAATATTGTGAAGAATAAGAATTTTAGAACATTTCATTGTGCTCATGTGGAACCTGTTCATAAACTAAGAGGCAATCACTTGAAAAGAATAAGGGGATACTACTGCAAGGTTTAAAATCAGAAAAGGTGTGTGTAGGTGTTGTATCCTTTCACCATACTTATTCAATCTACATGATGAACAGATTAATGCAAGAAGGTGTACTATATGAAGAAGAACATGGCATCAGGATTGGTGGAAGACTCATTAACAACCTGTGATATACAGATGGCACAAATTTGCTTGCTGAAAATGAAGAAAACTTAAAGCTCAAAGACTATAAATTTCAGTATGGACTACACCTCAATTTAAAGAAAATAAAAATCCTCACAACTATACCAATAAGCAACATCATGATAAATGGAGAAAATATTTAAATTGTCAAATGATTCTTTTACTTGGATCCACAATCGATGTCCATGAAACCAACAGTCAAGAAATCAAATGGTATATTCCATTTGAAAAATATGCTGCAAAATATCTTTAAAGTGTTAAAAAGCAAAGATATCACTTTAAGGACAAAGGTACACCTGACCTAAGCCTTGGTATTCTCAATTGTCTCATATGCATCTGAAATCTGGACAATGAGTAAAGACAACCAAAGAAGAATTCATGCCTTTGAATGATGGTGTTGACAAAGAATATTGAATATACCATGGACAGATAGAAAAAACAAAAAAATTTATCCTGGAAGAATTATAGCCAAAATGCTCCTTATTAGCAAGAATGCTAAGATATTGTCTTATGTACTTTGGACATGATTTCAGGAAAAACCAGTCCCTGTAGGATATCATGCCTGGAACAGTAAAGGGTGTGAGAAAGAAGAAGGATTAGCAGAATGATTGCAGCAATGAACTGGAACACAGCAGTGATTGTCAGGATGATACAGGGTTTACTTCTGTTGTACATAAGGGCACTGTGAATCAGAACCAACTTGATGGCACCTAACAACAACAACAATCTTTGTGGAAGACTGCCACAGCTTTCTCCCATAGACAGACTTGTGAGTTTGAACCGCCGACCTTTAAGTTGGCATCCAAACTCTTTGATGACTGCACTAGCAAAGCTCCTTGCAAAAAGACTTAAAAAACAAAACACCAAAATGTAAACCTGGTGTGATGCTTTGGGTTAATGGCTGGACTCCAAAGTTGCTTTGAACTGCAAAGTTGGCAGTTCAAGCTCACCAGCTGTTCCTTTGAAACCCTCCTATGTAAGATCATTATGGGTTGGAACCAAATCTACATCACATACCAATAAACATAGTGACCAAAGTTTATTCATGGTTACCAGGGCCAGGAGAAAGGGGTAGGAAAGAGGCATTAACAATGATGGAAAAATCGCGTTGATTGAGGGTAGGGTTGCACAGCCAGTTATTGTGATTGCTCTTAATAAAGTTGCATTGCAAAAGGTATGTGATAGATATATTTTACAAAGACTAAAAAATGATAGTAGTTGTTGAGGCTGCTTATACACAACCAAAAACCAAAAACGTCATGAAATTTGGTTCTTTGGTTTGGAGGTTTATGGTCCTGGTTTCATGGGATATCCCAGCTGATTGGTCTAATATGTTTAGTGCTTTTGTTGTACCTTCTAGTTCATTTTGTAGTGTCTGGGGTCTTAAAAGTTTACAAGTGACCATCCAAGGCACAACAATTGTTGTTGTTAGGTGCCATCAAATCAATGACAACTCATAACGATCCTATGTACAACCTAACAAAACTCTGCCCAGCCTTGCGCCATCTTCTAAGTTGTTATGTTTGAGTCCGTTGCTGCAGCCACTGTGTCAATACATCTTGTTGGGAGGTTTTCCTCTATTTTCGCTGAGCCTCCACTTTACCAAGCATGATGTCCTTCTCCAGGGACTGATCCCTCCTGATAACAGGTCCAAAAACTTATCTCTCCACCCTCTTTTCAAAAAGCAGTCTGGCTGTACTTCTTCTAAAATATTACTCAGACATAAAGAGTAATGAAGTCTTAATGCTTACCACAACATGGATGAACTTAGAAGGACATTTGTTGTGGTTGTTAAGTGCCATTGAGCCGGTTCTGACTTACAGTGACCCTGTTATGCTGAACAAAAAGTCAGAAACAAAAAAGCAAATACTCATGATAGAACATATATGAAATAAGTCATTATTTAAAAACCATGAGTAATTAGTGGTTACCAGGGGTAGAAGGGAGTGAGAAAGTGGGAGCTTTTGCTTAGAATGCATTGAATGTATATTAATGATAGTAGAAGTCCTGATGTGGCACTGGACCGAAAAGTCAGTTTGAACCACAAAGTTGCCAGTTCAAAGCTACCAGCTGCTCCTCAGAAACTCTATACAGGGTTACTATGAGTTGGAACCAACTCGACGTCTTTAACAACAAAGATAACAAGAATGGTTGCATAGCTAGAAGAATATAATTGATTCAATATTGTGTATTTTGTTGTATCGCTATAATAAAATTCTTTTTGATGAATGAAAAAGTCATTTAGGAGTCAAGTGAGGAAGAAAGAGCAGAATAGGGGAACTTGTCAGTAATTACAGCCGGTGGAGTTGGCAGATTGGCTAGCCACCCTAAAGGCTAGTTGCTGGATGAATATCTAGATTCTGAAATAAAAGAGCCAAGGCAAAGTGGCTGGACCAAATTTCAGAATGACTTCTCCCCAAAACAAAGCAGGTATTTAGATAAATTCGTGTTGCAATTCTTATCATTACATCTATTGTTGACTGGCAGCCCTTTAAATACATACAGGGAAGAAAAATCAATGGAGTTACTCACTTTTCTATTAAAACATTATGGAAATAATATACTATGTTTACAAACTAAAGTGTTTTACCTCATAAAAGAGCACAATTTCTGCAAATTTCTTAGGATCTGTGGAATAAAAAAAGGACAGAGGTACAATATGCTAGTACTTCCTAGCCCAGGGTATATTGCAGACCAGGAAATAAACTAGCGTCTTATTGTGGATCCCAAAGAGAAGGAAGAGGAGAACAAGATGATGAGAGAGGAGTGTCACAAAAATCTTCATCCCTGAGCAAGCAGAAAAGGCAATGAGGAAGGAAGGAATTATTCACCAAATGGTGGGAGATCATCTCCCAGCATAGACCAAAAGAGACCATCTAAAGGCTTACATACAGAAGGTTGGAAAATGGAATCACTGAAAGAAAATATAAATGAATTCTTATTTGATTTTTGTGGGTAAAGATCTTCAGTGGAAAAAAATGGAGATGTTGAATTATATAGATTTTAAACCATATCAGTACATGTATAGGGCTTAAGAATATATATACTTAACCCAGTTTGCAATTATTTATCTATTTGTTTGATTATTTGATTGCTGTCTGTCTCCTTGACTAGCTTATAAGCTACAAAAAAATAAGGAAGTCACTATTTTATTCCCATACTCAGTGAAGTCTCTAGCTTTAATGACCTTAATGATACTTGCTGAAAGTATCATTATAAGTCAGAACCAACTCAATGGCACTTAGCAACCTTCAAGAAGGAGGTCAATATTGTGAATGATGTTAGGGGCTTGAACAGAGGTTTAACAACCATAACAGAAAAGAAGACAAACTTTATACCACTCTGAATGAGGGAGGTAGACACAAGACTTCTGCTTAAATACAAAAAACAAAAACAAAAGCCCACAAGAAACTGTTTATGAGAACTAAAACATTCTGGCCATCAGTCCAAGGAAGCATCAGAGAAAACTCAGATTCTGCATAAAACCCATTTCCTCACAGAGGGACCTCCACTTAACATATGGGCAGTCCAGGAGAACACAGGCTTCAAATTGCTACCCCCTTGAAAGCCTGAAATAGGTTGAGATTAGGAAACCTGGAAAGAGTTAGAAAGAATGGTAGAAAACTTTAAGGGCACAGTTCAGTTCTATTATGGTTTTTCAGGGGCGGATCAGTTCAGCACATGAACACAGCCTGTGAACATAAGGTAGCCATGTCTTGCAGCATTTTCTTTTGCCTGTTCCTTTGACTTTATTGATCTAATGAGACACTTTGTGTTTTTCAGAATCACAAAGCAAGTTATGACTTCAGCAGCAATGACCCCTATCCATATCCCCGGTACACAGATGACTGGTTTAACAGGTAAATTGAGCCTCATGAGCTATCTTTGAATTTAGGTGTTATGGTTTTATTTTGCTTTGTTTTGTTCCCAAGGCTTAAATATCACTAGTAAAACATAAAACTCACACTTCACTAAATTATATTTTATTATTATCAGCAACTACATTCTCTAAATTCTTGGATAAATTAATATTATAATGCCTTTCTAGAATTATCTTCTGACTATTCTGTTTAGTTTAAGTAGGAAATATTTGTCACTTTAGCCTATTAAAGAAAAACTAAGATAGAAATCATAAGTCCTGTCTCAGCCCACTACAAAGTGATTTAAAGTAAGCTGATTTCATTTGATCTGTTGAAACTGTTGCAGAAAATTCCTTTACCCCATGGGTCAGTGTCTATATGTTTTTGAATAGTGTTTCTGCTATAATCTTTGAACAGCTCACATAGTCTCTTTCAAAAAAGCAGTAAGTGTGATTGGAAAAGGCTTGAATTATTATTTGAAAGAAAGGTCCCATCATATAAAACTGCCCAAATGGTCCCCCCAAAGGCATGAGGTTATTCTTTGACTATTTTGCTACTAAGCATGTAGATAAGCCAGAAACTAATTACCATTAAGTCAACTCTGCTTCATAGCAACTCCATGTGTGTCAGAGGAGAACTGTGTGCGCTGTAGTGTTTTGTTTGTTTGTGTTTGATTTTTATTGTGTATTGGGTTTGCAAAACAGATCCCCAGTTTTATACTTAATTCATGCACATTTTGTTTCATCTCACTGGTTGCAATCCTCTCAATGTAACATCACTTAATCATTGTCCTTCCTGTATTTCCTGTTTCTAGTCCTCCTAAACTTTCTGAATCTTGTCCTTGGATAAATACTGCCCTTTTGATCACAAATTGTTGAGTATTCTGAGTTGGCCTATCTCACTAGTGTTATTGTTCCCTTTATCCATTGTTTAGCTATTGACCTCTCTATTGTTTGGCTGAGTATTGAGTCACAGGGTAAGTTCAGTTCCAGACTAGAAGACTAGCTAAGGACCATCATGGCAGGGGATTCAACCAGTCTTCATTCAACCAGTAATTCTGGACTTTTTAAATTTTTTAATTTTATTCCATGTTTCTCTCACTCTATTCAGAACTGTCTAATGTGATCCTTTTCAGAGCAATTAGTAGCAGTTGTTCTTGTTGATATTAGGTGTCATTGAGTTAGTACCAAATCATAGTGACCCTATTATGACAACAAGATGAAACACTGCCCAGTCCTGCACCAACCTCACAATCCTTGCTATGCTTAAGGCCATTGCTGCTGCTGCCACTGTGCCAATCCATCTTATTGGGGGTCTTCCTCTTTTTCCCTCATCCTTCTTTACAAGTGTGTGATGTCCTTCTCCAGGGATTACTCCCTCCTGATAATATGTCCAAAGTATAAGAGATGAAATCTGGACATCCTGGCTTCCAAAGAGCATTCTGACTGTACTACTTCCAACACAGATTTGTTTGTTCTTTTGGCAGTCCATGGTACTTTTAATATTCTCCTCCAACACCATAACTCGAATGCATCAATCCTTCTATGGTCTTCCTTATTTACTGTCCAACTTTCATATGCATATGAAGTTACTGAAAATACCATAGCTTGGGTCAGGTGTACCTTAGTACTCAAACTGATATCTTTGCTCTTGAACACTATAAAGAGGTCTTATGCAGCAGATTTACCTAATGCAATACATTGTTTGATTTCTTAACTGCTGCTTCCATGAGTGTTGATTATGGATCCAAACAAAATGAAGTCTTTGACAGCTTCAATCCTTTCTCCATTCATCATGATATTATTTATTGGATCCGTTGTGAGAATTTTTGTTTCCTTTCCGTTGAGGTGCAACCCATACTGAAGGCTGCAGTCTTGATCTTCATCACTAATTATTTTGTATCCTCCTCATTTCCAAAATGCAAGGTTGTATCATTTGCATATCACAGGTTGTTAATGAGTCTTCCTCCAATCTTGACACTATTTTGCTCTTCAGATAATCTAGCTTCTTAGATTTTTTTGCTCAGTATACAGATTGAAGAAGTATGATGACAGAATACATATCTGATACACATTTTTCCTGACTTTAAAACATTCAGTGTCCCTTTGTTCTGTTAGAATGTCTGTCTCTTGATCTATGTACAGGTTCTGCATGAGTACAATTAAGTGTTCTGGAATATTCATTCTTCACAATGTTATCAATAGCTTGTCATGATCCACACAATAGAAAGCCTTTGCATAGTCAATTGTTGTTGTTATTAAGTGCTGTTGAGTCAGCTCCAACTCATAGCAACCCTATATAAGGTTTATGAAGAGTGGCTGGTGAGCTTGAACCACTGACCTTGCTGTTCAAACCAACCTTACTGTCCAGAGCATTAACCCAGAAGTGCCATACCACAACTCCTGCATAGTCAATAAAGTATAAGTACACAACTTTTTTATATTCTCTGCTTTCAGCCAAGATCCAACTGACATCAGCAATGATACCCTTAATTCCATGTCCTCTTCTGAATCTGGCTTGAATTTCTGGCAGGTGTTTGTTGATGTACTTTTGCTATCATTTTTTAATTATCTTCAGCAAATTTTACTTGTGTAAGATATTAATGTTATTGTTTGATGATTTCTGCATACTGTTGTGTCACCTGTCTTTGACATGGGCTCAAATATGGATGTCCTCCAGTGAAGCATCCAGCTGATATGAACTGAGGGGAGATTCACAAAAATGCCCAAACTTGTAGATAGTACTCATTCAACCTAGCTTCGATGGCTTGATGATCAGAACTCGACTAGAGGAAGATTTTTAAAAAAAGTTTTTGATTAAGGAAACAAGTGTAAATTCCTACAATTTGATGAACTTGACCTATACTTATGGATGGAGTAGCTCAAAATACCAACAGAGAGGGAAGGAGTCTTTACATCAAGTATCAATGCTATCCCCTCTGTACACAGGATTGATAGGGAAGGGCAACTTAGACACTGGCTACCTAAAATGGTGTGTGTGTGGGGGGGGGGGCTATAAAGGCACAAAGTGTCTGGCTTACAGAAGGTACTAGTCCATTGAGAAGAATATTATGATTGGTATAGTGGAGGATCAGGGTAAAAGATTAAGACTCCCAACAGGAGAGATTTGCACAGTGACAACAGCAATGCGCTTAAAGGTAACAACACAATTAGGAGGATGGTGTGAGACTGGGCAGTGCTTTATTCTGTTGTGCATGGGGTCACGATGAGTTGGAAATGACTCAACAGCAATTACCAAAAACAACAGCAACAACACCACTATTGTGTTTAACTCTTGCACTCCTACCGTGTCATCCCCTGCCTCCATCATTTTTATTTTTGTTTTGCTTTTTAGTTTGTTTGCTTTTTGCCAACTTTCCTTTTATTGTATATTGCCTTCCCCTTGAACCAGGTTAACTGTATCTACTCAGTAGTATAAACACATAAACATCGATAACCTAGGCATTAGTGAGCTGAGCTGAAATGGACCGGTATTGGCCATTTTGAATCTGACAATCACATGGTTTACTATGCCAGGAATAATAAATTGAGGAGGAATGGCTTCACCGTTCATCATCAAAAAGAACATATCAAGATCTGTCTTGAAGTTCAACACTGTCTGTAATAGGATAATATCCATACACCTACAAGGAAGACCAGTTAATACCACTATTATTTAAATTGATGCACAAACTTCTACATCTGTAGAAAGACATTATGGTAAAGCTCCATATCATCAGCCAAAACAAGGCCAAGGGCATACTGTGGAATAGACCATCAGTTACTCATATGTGAATTCAGGCTGAAGCTGAAAAAAATTAAAACAAGTTCATGAGAGTCAAAATATGGCCTTGAACATATCCCACTTGAATTTAGAGATCATCTCAGGAACAGATTTGATGCATTAGACACAAATGACTGAAGACCTGAAGAGTTGTGGAATGACATTAAAAACATCATACAGGAAAAAAGCATTAAGAATTCAGGAAAGAAGGAAAAGGCCAAAATGGATGTCAGAAGAAACTTTGAAACTTGCTCTCCAGCATAGAGATTATAAAGCAAATGGGAGAAATTTGGAGGTAAAAGAACAGAACAGAAAATTCCAAAGGTCAGCTCAAGAAGACAAAGTCAAATATTATAACGAATGTGCAAAGACCTGGATTTAGAAAACCAAAAGGGAAGAACAAACTCAGCATTCCTCAAGCTGAGGGAACTGAAGAAAAAATTTAAGCTTCAACTTCCAATATTGAAGGATTCTATGAGCAAAATATTGAATGATGCAGAAAGCATAAAAAGAAGATGGAAGGAATAAACAGAATCTCTGTACAAGAAGAAATGGTCAATGTTCAACCATTTCAAGAGGTAGCATATGATCAAGCGGCAGTGATACTGATAGAATTCCAAGGTGCATTGACAGTATAGGCACAGAACAAGGCTTCAGGAATTGATGGAACACAAATTGTAATATTTCAACAAACTGATGCAGCACTGGAGGCACTCACTCATCTATCCCAAGAAATTTGGAGGACAGCTACCTGGCCACCTGATTGGAAGAGATGTATATTTGTGCCCATTCCAAAGAGAATTAGCCAACAGAATGCAGAAATCATTGGACAATATCATTAATATCGCATGCAAGTAAATTTTTGCTAAAGATAATTTAAAAATGGCTGCAACCACACATTGACAGAGAATTGCCAGAGGTTCAAGCCAGATTCAGATGAGGACATGGAATAAGGGATATCATTGCTGACATCAGATGGATCTTCGCAAAAAGCAGAGACTACTAGAATGATGTTTACCTATGCTTTATTGACTACACAAAGACTTTTGATTGTGTGGACCATGACAAGCTGTGGACAAGGTTGTGGAGAATGAGTATTCCGGAACACTTAATTGTGCTTATGAGGAACCTGTACATAGACCAAGATGCAGTTGTTCGAACAGAACAAGGGAACATTGAATGGTTTAAAATTGGGGAAAATGTGTGCCAGGGTTGTA